ATAATGGATACATATGTTGAGTATTAACATTGAATCTATATGTTAATATCAATTTCTTGGTTTCATAATTTTATATATAAGGTAATGAGATGAATGAGAAAACCAAGAAGTTAAAATTCTTTATCTCTTATTTAATGAAATGTATCAATGCATTGTACTAAAGCAGAGTATGTAAATAATCTGTTGAAATGATATAAGTTAGAAAATACATGTTTTTAAAAGTTTATGTTATAGATTATGCTATTATAGTCATCCCAATATTTCTCTTTTTGACTCCCCCACCCAGCACCCCTGACTCCCTCACTCAATCCCAACACCTTTGCTCATGTTCATGGGTCATGCGTATAAGCTCTTCGGCTACTCAGTTTTCTATACTGTACTTCACATCCTCATGATTATTCTGTAACTACCTAGTTGTACTTCTTAATGGTCTCACCTCTTCTCCCATTCCCCCAACCCCACTTCCATCTGGCAACCATCAATATGTTCTCCATATCCATGATTCTGTCTCTGCTCTTATGTGTTTAGTTTGTTTTTTAGATTTAATTGTTGATGGGTATGTGTTTATTGCCATTTTATGTTCATAATTTTAATCTTCTTTTTCTTAAATAAGTCCCTTTAACATTTCATATAATAATGGCTTGGGGATGGTGGACTACTTTAGTTTTTCTTATTAGGAAAACTCTTTATATGCCCTTCCATTCTAAGTGTTAGGTTTGCTGGGTAGAGCAATCATGGCTGTAGTTCCCTGCTTTTCATCACTCTGAATATTTCTTGCCAATTCCTTCTAGCCTTCAAAGTTTCTTTTGAGAAATCAGCTGATAGTCTTATGAGAACTCCTTTATAGGTAACTGCTTTTCTCTTGCTGCTTTTAAGATTCTCTCTTTATCTTTAACCTGTGGCATTTTAATTATGATATATCTTGTTGTGGTCCTCTTTGGGTCCGACTTGTTTGGGACTCCCTGTGCTTCCTGGACTTGTATGTCTATTTCCTTCTACGTCTGTTTCCTAAAACCAAATTAGGGAAGTTTTCTTTCATTATATTTTCAAACAAGTTTTCAGTTTTTTGCTCTTTCTTTTCTTCTTCTGGCACCCCTGTGATTCAAAGTTGGTATATTTGAAGTTGTCCCAGAGGCTCTTTATTCTGTCCTTGTTTTTCTTCTTGCCATTTTGATTGAATTTTTTTCTTCCATGTTTTCCACATCATTAATTTGATTCTCATTTTCATCCATTCTACTGTTGATTCCCTGTACATTTTTATTTATTTCTCATAGTGTAAACTTTATTGTGCTTGGGACTTTTTTATGCTGTGAAGTACCCAATGAGTTATTTGAGCATCCTCATAACCAGTGTTTTGAACTCTGCATCTGAGAGATTGCTCATCTACATTTTGTTTAGCTCTTTTTCTGGAGTTTTGATCTGTTCTTTCATTTCGGCCCTGTTTCTTTGCTTCTTCATTTTGGCTGCTACCCTGTGTTTGTTTCTGTATATTAGGTAGGGCTGCTTTGACTCCTTGTCCTATAGCATGGCCTGCTGTAGAAAATCACACTCATAAATTAAATGGGGTAGAGACATAAGTAATCACCTGGTGGGGCAGCCTGTGTGAACCAGGTTTATGGAGTCTGAGATACGGTGCAGTTACTCTGTCGATCTGTGTGGAGAGGTCTCAGGAAATGAACAATGGCTGCTGCCTGGCCTCTGGAGTTTTGTCTGGGAGAAAGCTGTCTGCTGGTGCTCACTTTGATGCCAGACACTTTGTTTCTCCCCCGGTACCATTGGTGTCCATCAAGCTGCTGTACCAGTGCTGGAGCCCAGAGGAAGTGAGTCTGCATATATTCTAAGTCCATTGCAGACCCTTTAAGAGGTGATACCTGAGAATCCTGCAGTTTCTTCCACTACCTCAACCCCCACTGCTTTTTACAGCTATAAGTTATGGGAACTTATGTCTCAGGCACTGGAACCCTGGGCTGGATGGTCTGGTGTGGGGCTGGGAATCCCTCGCTCCTGAAATATCTCTCCTGATTTTTATGCACAACACATAGGAGTGAGACTGCCTGTTTTATGTCTCCATGTCTCTGCCCTTCCTACCCATCTGAATTAATGTGATTTAATTCCTTTGTTGTTGGACTTCCATACAGTTCATTATTCTGAAGATTCTGGACGACAGTTATTTTGTAGTTTGGTTGTAATTTTTGCTGTGGTTGTGTGAGGAGGCGAGCCATGTTTACCTATGCCTCCATCTTGGCTGGAAATCTGCAATTGTTTGAAAAGACTTCCATCGTAAAATATAGTGAAAGACTGTCCCTTCTGACCTTTGACAATGAATGCCTGATTTAGCTCTTGGCATTCTTCTTGAAAACACCCCAGGGGGCACAGATGCTTTCCAATGTAACTTATATTTGAGTACGTCTTGCACATAAGATAAGTCTGTTTTGTAAATGTATCAAGAACAGATTCTAAAGAGGCTGAAACTTGCATTTGTCTGTTTCAGGAATATTATGTAGATCATGTTTTTAGTTTTTTCTATTGCTTTCATTGCTCAAATAAACAGATCTTTAAAACTTTGCCAAACAGAAAAATAATGAGCTATGAATTCTGTCTTTATTTTTAGTTTTTCTATCATCATTAGTGTAGGATTCTTTTACTCTGATTTCAAACATTTGCCCTGACCTGACTCAGCTCACATTTTCTGAAAGATAAGGGACTACAGGACTTAAAACATGGCCTTCTGCTTTCCAGTTTGCTGATCTTTGTAGGTCAAAATATGTTGTCTCCACTCTACAGTTGAAAGTTCTTATTTGTAAAACATGAAGACCAAATTTTCTATCAATATCATGTTTAGGAATTAACCTTTCAAAGAAGAAACAGAAATCTTGGAAGATTCATTCACCTTTAGTTTGCCTTTTCATTTCTTTTTTTGTTGTGAGTCTTCACTTTTAAGACAATTTTAAATGGGTGTCCAAAATCAAAGTGTATTTTACTTTATTCAGTATTTTGTATTTTTTCATTCCTGCATGGTCAAAGTGAATTGTACTCCCCCTCCCTTCCATTATTTTATTGAGTGCCAAATAAGTGAGCATATTGTTCTGAGTGTGTACGAAATGCGGACAGTAGAACCTCTGCCTAGCCATTTTAAATAAGTTTAAAAAAATAGAAACTGAATGGAAGTTTAATGCACCTGACTGGATTTTACAGTTTAGTTTGAATAAAATGCATTATATTGAAGTAAAATAATTAGAGTTGTAGTTTACCTAATAATTGCTACTAATTGCTTTCAAGGGATTAGATCTCCACAACCCCCTTTTTAATGGCAGTAGAAATATGTCAACCATAGCAGTAGTGGTGTTAATACTAATGATTTTTATATTTTCCATGTATAGTTCAAAATGTCATCTTGTTAAGAGGAAATCTTTATCAGAGATAAAAATGCATGTAACTAAATTGACAAGATAACTGTTTTTTTTTTCTGTTTTTCATCTCACTAACAAATGATGCTAACTAGAATGTTTGATTGCCTTCAATTTCATGGAAAATTGGTTGATATTCCTTCTCTGAATATGTGTGGCTGAATTAACTTTATATTCCTTAAACTAACACTTGACAATCAAATAAAATAATTGTGTACAAGTGACTGAATTGAATCCCTAAAATACTAGATCATATTATATGCGGGCAACTTTGCCTGCAAAGTCCCCCCATCTGCCACGTATGAAGGTGAAACTACCGAGTCATGATCTGCTTGGGGAGGAAGGGTGGCTGATCCCTCAAAGGGGAAGGGCCAATAACCTTTTCTTCTATGGGCTTTTATTTTGCATAAGAATACAGGTAAGGATCAAAGAATAGATAGCATTCAAAGAACTATGAGGGCTTTTTCTCAGTCAGGGTCAGATAGCTAAAGAGCCATAAAGCTTTGAGGAACAAACTTCTTGCTTGGACCCTTATCATTTAAATGAGAGCATTCTAAACAAAGCGGGTTTCACAGGATTTTTACATATTCTTTCTTAGTCCTGATCACCCTTGGGAACCGGCCTCTTCCAGGAGAGGGCTGCACCACTTTTCCCATTATAGGTTTTTAGGCTTAAGTGGATTAGAGCCAGGAAGTGCCTCTCCTAAATGGAAATGGGGACTCTGGCTATGTCAGAATAGCCGAGGGGCGAGAGTCCATCGCTCCCTCTTTGTCTCAGCCTCCTCCCCCCACAGTCCTTCCATGATGGCCTCTCAAGTGATTGTGTCTGGCTTAGGTTGCCCCTCTCTCAGTAAGGAATCTTACCTGTCATGGACTGTTGACCATGCTTTGAAAGCAGGGGAAGAAGCAGAAGCAGTGTTTGCTGCCAGAGACAAACTTTGTCTCCTAAGTGGCTTGCATTCTGGAGGTCACTCACTCAGTCTTAGCCATGAGAGCAAGTTACAATTCCTGAAACCAGGCAGAGAAGTTCCCACCAATATTAAAAGTTTATTTTCCTGTTGTCTGTGTCTACAACTTTTTGTTTATTTGCCTTTGTTCATTTGTTGCCTTTATTTTATACCCCAACATGAGTGAAATCATATGGTTTTTTACTTCCTTTGCATGACTTCTTTTGCTTAGCATGATATTATCTAGGTCCATCCATGTCATTGCGATGGTATTATTTCATAGACATGGGCAATAGTATGGTGGTTACCAGAGCGAGAGAGGTGAGGGAATTAGTGAAGTCTAAAGGGGCCCAGATATGGTGACAGGAGATTTGGCTTTGGGTGCTAATCAAATAATGCAATGTACATAGTATCATAGAATTGTATCCTCGACATTTTATTAACCAATGTCACTCCAATAAATTTAATTAAAAAATGTTGAAAACAAGAAAATACTTTGAGCTTCTAACCTTAAAAATACCTTTATTAATTTTAATCATATTGTTATTTCTTTAACATAGTTTGTAAATAACATTTTTATCTCTGAGAAAAAGCAATTAAGAGAATGTATGTACTATTATTTGGTCTCCTTTTTTCCCATCCCACAGAGAAATGATGAAGAGGCAGTTGTGGATAGGGGTGGAACTCGTTCTATTCTCAAAACACACTTTGAGAAAGAAGATTTAGAAGGTAAGACATTTTTCCTGCTTGGATAGCTCTTCCTATCTTTGTTTCAAAGTGAAATGTGAAATTCGTCACAATATGGAGAATTGCAAATGCTGATATCAGAGTAATGGTGGTGGTGGTTGGTAGATATGATGCAGTCTGGAATGACAATAGGCAGACCTGAAAACAGTAAGAACATTCACCAAGGAGACATTTACAGAACCCCTGCTACATTCCAGGCTGTGTTGTGTTCCACTCTTTCAATATTCCTTGTTTCAAAGAATTACAATCAACTGGGGAATAAAAAGAAAAAAAACAGACTAGCACATGTGGCGCTAACTCACTCAGCCTGTGCTGTCAGAGTAGGCTCTCACTGGAAGAGTTAAAGACACTTTGGTGTTCTAGTTTTACTCAGATATCTGTGGGAGAGAGTTGGAGGCGCCATTTGTTTGAGTCCTCAATAAGGGGAAAAGACAGCAAACTGTACTTGAACAACAATAAAAAAGAAGAGGAAGAAGGTCAGATACTTCAGTGTATCTGACAATGTATCTGGCTGCATGGACTTGTAGCTCTGAAACCAAGTTGTACTGGTTTCAAATATTAGTTCCACCTTATTTGCTATGGAAGCCCCAGCTAGTTAGTTAACTTCTCTGCACCTTCTTCTTCTCAACTGCTAAAATAAGGATAACAATGGAAAATATTTTCTAAAATTTCTATAATAATGAAGGGAAAAATACTTAGAATAGTACCTGACATAAGAGTTATATAAGTACTGACAATTATCATTACATCACAATTTAATGTATATACACTAATAGTTCATTTTTATTTTTAAGCAGAAATTATTACTAGTGAGATACAAGGTAGATGGTATTTTTCATTTTTTGGTTGAAAAGTGAAACTTAAGTAAAACTAATCAGAAAGAGCTGCTAATAATCCATCACAGCTGAGAAATAAGGGTTTACTCTTCTTAAGAATTTTAATATAACCACTTAAATTACAATTAAATTCGTTGTTCTTTTGTTTTATCCTTAGCTACAACAACTAAATAATATAGGAGAATTAATATAATGTTCAGAGACAACTTTCCACAACTACACCTAACTGCGTGCCTGACATTTCGTGTGGTGCATGGAAAATACCCAGGTCTGGAAAGGTTATACTTACTGAGTGTGTGTAGTGTAATTTGCTGTGCTATTGATATTCATTACACAAATTGAAGGGAGCACAAACTTGCAAAACCTAAAGGGATTATGGATCATAAAATAATTATTTCTTGGATTTGAAATGCCATTATTATCAGCAGCAGATTTATCTTCCTGCTTGTGTTATGACTTCTGCTTTACTTTTATTTACTAAACACACACAAGAAAAGCTAATAAACTAAGATGTTAGTCTAAAAATATGCTCAGTTCCAGGGAAAGGCCATCTTGGGTTGAAAGACTATGATGGATAATCCACACATAGATAATTGGAAATTAACAGTTAATAATTTATAAATAATTATAATAGAATCCTGAATGCTCCCTTTGGATGGAAAATACATAATGAAAAAATAATATTTAAAAATATAATTTTAATTATCATATGAACATGAATTATATGCATTTTCTTTGGGTGACAGTGTACAGTGCTTATTGAAAGAGACTTCTGATTGGCAAAACACAATTCATAAGCCAGATTTTGTTTTGCTTATTGATATCTATAGTGGATATTTTAATCACCAAAATGAATAATTTTGGCTTACTGGTGATTGAAATTAACATCAAAGAATGCAAGTGTAATGTTACATTTAGACTTTTGAAGGAAAATAGGAAAACCCTTATTTATATTGAGTTTCTAAATATTTTGTTTTGGTCCCAAACCATACTGCACAGGTAAATATCCAAGCCTTTGAAGATACTGTGGAGGGTTCTGCTGCAATGCACACAAGGAATTGCTGAGAATCAGAAAATAATGCAGGAGCAATGTGATAGATGGTGTGGTTTAGGAAAAACCAACTGGCAGCATAATGTAAAATGGGCAGTGGAAGAGTGCCAGTTGGGAAGGTTGCATTACTGGGGGTAACAATGGTGGTCGTTTCCCCCTTTGTACAAAAGACCAGAGCTCTACTTTTTAAGAGCATCTTCAGCAATGTAGATCAAACACATTTCATAAAAATCTTCTTTCAATTAAAATTTAATAAATTTATTTAATTCTAGCTTTATTGAGATATAATTGGTATATAACTATAAATTTGAGGTGTATAATAGGAAGATGGGGCACACAAATGTAATGAGAAATGATTACTACAATAAGGTTAGTTCCTTCACATCCATCACCTCACATAGTCACCTTCTTTGTGTATGTGTGGTGAACATTTAAGACTACTCTTAGCAAAATTCAAATATGTAATGTGGTGTTGTTAACTGCAGTCACCATGCTGCACAACAGACCCCTAGAACATTCATTTTATAAATGGAAGTTTATATTTTCCCCACCCCCCAGCTTGTGGCAACCACCATTTCAATTAAAATTTTAAATGTGAAAATTGCTGTTTCTCGGAACTGCATATATAAGGTCTGTCTGGAAAAAGTCCAGCCATTGTTAATATAATGAGATCAGTTTGTGTGGCATCAATGTAACCTGGCAGCCAAGGAGAGTGGACTGGATGCACATGCATGAACACTGAGGACTTCACTGTACTAGTCAGTGGGGGCTGTAGATGCCACTGAGTGAACATGTGTACTGTGTGGTCACCACATTCAAAATGACTAAGCAAATAGAGCAATGAATTTGCATCAAATTTTGTGTTAAGTTTGAGCATTCGTCTGCAAAAACTATTTGGATGATTCAGAAGGTCACAGCTATGGGCAAGTGGAGATTGGCAGTTTCCTCACAAAAATACACCCATTCATGCATCGCATCTCGTGCAGAGTTTTTTGGTGAATCACCCAGGTGACTCAGCCCCCACTATAGCCCAGATTGGGTACCCTGCAACTTCTGGCTTTTCCCAAGACTAGAATAGCCTTTGAGAGGGAAGAGATTTCAGATCACCAATGAGATACAGGAAAATATGATGGGGCAGCTGATGGCAGTTCCAACAAAGGATTTTGCAGAGTGTTTTGAACAGTGGAAGAGACACTGAGAGAACTGTGCGAGGTCCCAAGGTGCTTACTTTGAAGGAGCCTGAGGCATCACTGTCCTATGTACAATGTTTCTTGTATCTTGTGTCTTCTTCAATAAATGTTTCTATTTTTCATATTACATGGCTGGATACCTTCTGGACAGACCTCATATACACATACTTAGCTAATGAGATTACTGGTGTAATTTAATATCCTGACTATGGCTTGTAGAAATGCCAGGTGCTTAAAATACAAAGTCCCAGCTGAAATATGTTTAATGGAAAATTATTAACTGACTGAAATCAATAGCTTGGTGCATATGAGTACTTTGATGTTATAGTATTCACATATATTATACATTCTGATGAATGATATGTCAAGTGTATAATTTTCTCCCTCTAAAACTATTTATCCATTTGTTCTAAATATCTCATATGATTTTTCTCAATCTTTTCCTCTTACTACAAAAAATCAAGAGCATACAATTTTACTAGATTCTGTTCACTTTCTATTTTTCTACATCAGATAGTTAATAAATTCTTTGAATCTACTTCAAGGGTGTCTGTTCTCATCCCTTCCTTTTTTTTCCTGCTGCCTCTGCTTTAATTCTTTCTCTTTTTGCATATTGTGTACTGTGTGGTTCCCACAGTCCACCCTCCCTAATATTGTTCTTTCTAAACATCCTTCTGCTTCCAATACTAAAATGTAGTTAGTGGCACTGAATCCCTACAGTTAGATCACTCAGGATTCTGAGTAGAGCAAAAATTATTCGGATTAACCAATTTTTATTTTTGGTTTCCCACATCCTTGTGTGATTAGTAGTGTCTAAAGTGTAAGATTACAAAAGGAATAATGCATTAATACCTTTGAAATTCTTTTTTGTACTTGCCCTTTAGTACATGTGCAGGAGACCCAGTGTGATAAAATACACAATGCTCAGTTAAATTTGAATCTTACATAAGCAAGGAATAACTTTTTGTATAGGTATACCATGTAATATTTTTATCTTTTTGAAATTTTTAAACCTGGCAACCCTCGTAACTAAAACTCTGTACAACTCCCCATTTCCTCCTCCCCCACACTGCTAGCAACCACAATTGTACTCTTTGTTCCTATGGATCTGACTACTCTACATATTTCATATAAGTGAATCATGAAGTATTTGCTCTTTGGGGCTTGGCTTGTTTTACTTAGCACAGTGTTGTCAAGTTCATCTATGTTCTACCATGTATTACATTTTCCTTCCTTTTGAAGTCTAAATATATTCCATTGTGAATATATATATACACTGTATGCTATATAGTGTGTATATATATACTGTGTGTATAAATGTAGTGTATATATAATGTGTGTATACATATACACACTATACACCATATATATATATAGTGTGTGTATATGTATACACACTGTACACTATATATATAGTGTGTATAGTGTACACACTATACATAAATGTGTGTGTATACATAGTGTGTATAGATATATAGTATATATATACATATCTATACACACTATATTTTATCTATTGATGTGTTGATGGACATGACTGCTTCTGTCTCTTGGCTGTTGCGAATAGTGTTATTATGAATGTGGGTGTGTAAATATGTCTTAGAGATCCTGCTTCCAGTTGTTTTGAATGCATAACCCATCCAGGATCATAAGTTAATTCTATTTTTAAGTTTTAGAGAAACTGCTATACTGTTTCCCACAGCAGATAAACAATTTTACATTCCCACCAAGAGCGCATAAGAATTGTAATTCCACATCCTCACCAATATTTGTGATTTTTCTTTCTTTCTCTTTTTTTTCTTCCCTCCCTCCCCACTTTCCTTCTTCCCTCCCTCCCTCCCTCCCTCCCTCCCTCCCTCCCTCCCTCCCTCCCTCCCTCCCTTCCTTCCTTCCTTCCTTCCTTCC